TGGGAAACAAATTATGAAGCTTCACTGCCATGATTATACACCACCACCACCACCAACCACCATCATCAACAACAACAACAACAACAACAACGGCAAGGCTAAATGCCTTGCTTTTCTTTTGACTATGTTGTTTCTGAGGTGCTATTTCCTGGCTAGGCTCCTTGGTACCAAACATGTATCATGCTGTTGCTCTACAGTGCGAGTTTGTGGGATCAATATACAAGAAGACCCCGTGTGAACCTGCAGGGTCATCATCCCAGTGGAGCGGTACATGCTCCCTCGGCGCGCAGCTGTTGGGAGCACCAACCATTTTGCTTTTGATCTTTTACTTCTGTTGAAGAAGAATAAGAAAAAGAAAGAACAAGCGAGTGTGAGAGTGTGTGTGGTGTGGAGTAAGACTCCAAGGAAAACGTTGCACAAGCGGAGACTCGGCGGCTCGAAGCTGGAGTTTGAGGATTTTGGAGCGGTGCTGTCAAAATGTTGAAAGGTGTCGTGGACACTCAAGGAGAGACCCAGCTTGACGAACTTTTCTAGCTGGCTGGCTGTGCTACTACACATGTTCCCGGCGCAAGTAGCATTTCTCTACGTGTCGTGAGAATAATGCGACCATGCTGATCAGCCTTTCCAACTCAACAGCTCGGGTAGAGAACCCGCAGATCTGTCCAAGGACCACCAGAATTTTCTCTTATCTCGAAACGTTGACATTATGTTCAAGTTCATTTGTTCTTTTATCTGTTTTCCACTTACGAAGCGCCAGTGCTGTTAACCATTAATTCATTTTGAGGGTGGAGTGGGTCTTTTCAACATGCATTCGTCTACTGAGTTTGGCGGCAAGCCCAAGCGAAAGGAGGTTTAAAGAAGTGAGGATCTGCAAAATTGATGAGTGAGCTGCCGTTTTGGGCAATGCGATGTGCTGGGTAACATATGGGGGACATCGATAGTAAGAATGAGAGAAAAAGCGTTCAGTGCGCCAAGTTTTGGGGATGGTAAACAATGAAAATTGATTGTAATTCATCAAATAATGTCTTTTCTACTATAAGCCGATCATCAGTTTCGTCAACTGAAAGCTTAGCTGATGCTTCACAGACTAAGTATAAGTAGACTGTATGCTTTGTAGAGAAGTCTGATCGGTCTCTGAAGCTTTGTCTATGATATGTTCGACGACCCGACGGATCTTAAATTTGCGAGATATCGATATTACCAACGTACATGTTACTTATATGCAGGGGAATTCGGCAAGGCAAAGCAATTCAACAGCTGTCAGCCACCAAAGTAACGTCATTTTCCTGGTAGTACCCAAGCAGAGCGAAGCCGCAAAGCGGTACGTGTACGTGTACTGCACGGATCATTGTTATCGACATCTGCCTTGTAGCATTTTCCACTCGTTGTTCTTCCCCGGACATACTCGCTTTATACTGCAGACAATAGCATAGACATGGCGTGATTCGCGGCAGAACAGGAAAACGATGATTTTGGTGGTCTCTTTGACCAGGAGCCTAACGAATGTAGTTCCTGGTTCCAAAAAATGCAGGGACTGCATTAGTTGGTGTTTGAGGATATCCCGGAAACGTCGCTGCCGTACGTCTTAATCTTTTGCAGTAGATGGATGGTTCAGATCATTAGGTGTTAACAGTTATGGATTTCGATGCAACTGGCACGGATCTCGTTCTCTGTTGAAGCAACATCGTTGCTGTCTCGGTTGGATTTTCCGAGGTCTCGCATGCAATTTTCCTGCGCAACCAGCTGTCATCCCATCAAAGGGGTCTAATAATTTAACCTATCTCGAAAAGTGTATATCGAGGTTATTTTATATGGGTATAAAAGGGCCCGGTGTATGAGAAGTGCCCTCATTTCTCCCATTTGCAAACAAGGTAATATCCACAAGGAACATTTTATAAAACAAGGTCGTGTTGTGAGGCGTGGTCGTCTGCCATGCAATCAATTACTATGGAGCCATATGTAGATACATAAGCTTTTCTTCATGTAGTGCCGAGGGGTGTCAGTTGATACACACTGTAACACATGTCACGGAGTGCGAGCCGGAATTTAATGGTTTATAGTGCACATGGTCCACGCAAGTCTGCCCTTTTGTGAGCAAGTATGCATAGTCCCAGATTTAGGTGTATGGGTGTAGGTCCATTGATGGTGAAGCTGGAGTATCCAGAATTTAGCCATTCTCTTAGATTCAATCTGAATACTTGCTGTTTAGGATAGAGAGCAAGATGATGTTCACATGAAGCTCCTCTCCAACTACGAAGAATTAGTTGTTATACAATTTAGAAGGTAGAAAGGAAGCCATGGCTTGATCCTTTGTCTGGCCTTACATGACATATCGATCTTGTCAATTAACGGCACTGATTTAAATTATTGCCAGGTACCTTACTGCTCAAATGTTGATCCAAAGAGACAGCCAAAGCTAAGTAGAGAACAGTATTTACAAATGAGAACCAAAATCGCTTTCGAAAGTAGCATATTATATTTCATTGCCGGATAGACACGAGGGGAAGGAGAGTATAATCCTTGAGCACTTCACAAGCCCGGTTCCTCACAAAGCGTAGTCTCGTGCTATAAGTTCAACTCTGTTGGATATAAATGTACTGGAAGTAGAAAACTAGAATTGAGGCGTGCTATGCAGAACGAAGCAAAGACTGAGTCCTGTAGATGATGATTATCCTGTCACACAGAAATGAAGCTGCACAGTCACACGTAAGAACAAGAGCCAAGAATAGTCTAATGACGTGCTTATTTGGTAATGTGAGGGCTATCCAAATAGAAGAAATATCCACGATAGATCGTAGTCTTGTCATTGTGGTCTCAGTCATATCAACCTAGCATTCCCACAACGCAAAGGTAAGACATCTGCTTGCTTGATACCATGTTGATGTCAAAGTACACTTGTCAAAGACTTATTCGTCCTTCAAAGCCGTCCAGATGTCCAGCACTTCCCCCTCAAACATGTTTTCTAACAGCATCCGTGGTTTCCAGCCCAGCTCAGCGCGGGCTCGGTTCGCATAGCAGCGCGATGTCGTCCTGTTGGGCCAGCTCGGCGCTTGTGGGCTGGAAACCGGTACAGAGACGGGCGTTGCATCCTCCACAGCACCCTTCGCGTGGAGGATCGAAGCCATCTTGGTGCAAAAATCGAGTTTCTGGTGTTCGCCGTGCTCGGCGCTATGTGGTGGGGTTAACGTGTTAGCGAAAGATCATAAGCGGATTCTTTTTGGTGTCTCATATGCCTATTACCATCGAAAGCACAGAAAAAAGTAGCAAAATAACAGAAAGGATATCGAGTCGCAGCAATAGTTGGAAAAAGTGAGAACAGAGGGATCCGTACAAATAAAACCTTGCAAAGCCAGCCGGCTCTGATGCCTCAAGATTGTGCTTGATAGAGCGAAGCAGCATGTCGACCACGTCCTGAACATGGACATGAGCCCAGATATTCGTTCCTTCGCCTGCGTAGGTCGCGCGTTTGTTTTTGAGCGCAGTTCGAACTAGATTGGGGAATGGGGATGAGATGGTCTTGTATGGTCCTGACCCATGGCCGAATATGACACCTGGGCAAATAATGGACGCTTTGATCTCGCCCTCGCGGTCGGCACGAGCAACTCTGTAGCGCATCGTGGCACACTGTCAGCCTTAAGTCGTTTCCTTCAGTAGAAACACCTATGTCGTCCGTTCTCAACAAGATCAACATCGATAGAGAAAATGATTCTTACGTACTCGAGATCAATGAGTCGGTGCAAAGCACTATCTGCAATGCCCTCAATCTGCGCAAGGTCCTGATCATTGTACTTGGGCACATCTTCTAGCTTGCCGGTAGGCTTCGACTCAATGAGCTGAGTGCCTGATACGTGGACGAGAACGCCTGCTCTTGAATATGCCGACTTGCCCTGAGCCAGACCGCGGTTGATGGCCTTTGTGAGCTCGAGGTCATCCGAGGTCGCGGCGTTTATGGCGATGTCAGCCTCGGCACTTGCGGTCTCGATTTTTGAGAGCTCTGCGTGTGAGGCCTGGATAACGTTGACGGTTGTCAGTAGACTGCAAACTTAGTGCAATCGACAAAAGTTCCGTTTTGCCAAGGCAGCTTGATAATATTTGAAGTGTAGAGAACTCACTACCAAAATCTTTGTCTTACGGTCCTTCAGGACACGTTCACGTTCGGCTCTCACAACAGATGTGACGTCGTACTCATCTGTGCGTTCCAGCTCTGTCAAGAGCGTGCCACCCAAGTAGCCCGTTGCACCGAACAACAGCACCTTATAAACCATGTTGAACAGTCGAACAGTAAGTAAATGTGTGACTGGAGGAGATATAGATATGATGCTTCAAGTTGAAAAGAAGATGATCACAAAACTTGCAACTGTTAATTGGTAATCGTCAGTGAATGTGTTTTTTTACATGAGGGGTCACATCGCAGTGGCAAATCGCAAAGCACGATGATGCTTTCGATTTCCGTGAGGTGCCCAACGTCTTTTAGAACCCGCTCAGAGGAGGAAAATGGACCGTAAGTCGAGCTCGAAGCACAGAACGAGGTTACTAAAACCTACTGGTACAATAATTCAGCCTTGACCAGACTTGATGTCATTAAACCCTCAATGTACTTACCAAATGTGTGGTGAGGCTTCGCGGTGGCGGGTATTCAACTTCAAATCTCTTGGGATATCTTCCGACGTAGAATATTGCTGAGCGTGCAGAGATCAAACGACTGGTTCTTCATTCGTCCATCATGGAACTAATCTTGAGTCACTAGTTCCCACGAAGCCAACAAAGATTCAAGCTTAAACTTATATAAAGTCACGGTTGCATACTTTGATCGACTCACGACCAGCCGAAGCGCACAGTCCTTAGCACCAAGCTCATTCCGACCCACAGCAAATGACAGTCAATGCCTTCTAGCATAACAAGGCATAATAAAATACTGTCTAACATGAACAAATACCCCTCTGACTTCAAAAATGTTACATCTGATCCACGAGAAGGACTGCAAAATTACAAAAAGTCATCTCCGATACGGGGAATCGAACCCCGAGCTCGACGGACCCTAATCAGAAGAATGAGAGCGTCGGATGTTAGCCATTACACCATATCGGATAGTGTATATCTGTGTTGCAAAAGTCTATATTATATATTGCATTCTCTGGTCAGAGGTTCAAAATCTTCATAACATTTTGCCCACCCTTTCGAGCATTTGATCATACCCCCTAAGAAAGCCCCCCTCCCTTTATATATATATATATATATTCATATCTTGATGTTCTCTTATATTTTGAAAGATAAAAAAGGGGGGTTTGTTTCCCTCCCAGAAATGTTTCTCTTATCCAAAATGGAGGGGCTGATGCAAAGACATGCGATATTATGTACTGATGATTTTTGTTGAACATGAGCATTGCCGCCGAAACTCTGTGTCGATGTTCTATGGTACAACACAATCCACGCTCAATTCCGCTGACAAGCAATTTTGCGCATTTAAGATATGATGGATTGAATTCGTGCCTCGAATAACACTCATTACGAGTAGTTCCTTCACCGACTCCTTGAGTCTATGATCCTGGGTGGCTCAAGGTCTAGCGATGCGAAGTTAGTTGGCAACGATCTGAATAAAATATGACACACTTGAAAAACCTTAATGTTTGAGAACTAAGTACTGATCATGATCTATTGTATGTTATCGTCAACCAGTTTCATTTTTAATCTTCTAAAGCATGCGCATGTATTTAATTCTAGATTGGCTCGTCGCGGGGCTCAATCATCACCTCATTGACAGCAACATGCTCAGGTCGTGTGACCGCATACACAATAGCACTCGCAACATCTTCGGCATCCAAGACCTTCGCACCGGACGGCTCGCCGTACTTCTTGATCGCTTCCACATCGGTCGATGTACCCAACAGATCAGTAGAGACGTTGCCCGGTTGAATGCTAGTGACGCGCAATCCTGATCCTGCATTCTCAACACGCAGCGCCTGTAGCGTACCCTCGATGAACATCTTGCTGGCAGAATAGACGCCGAGGCCAGGGAAGACCTTGCGTCCTGCATCCGAGCTGATAGCGACAACGTGACCCTTGCCGCGAGAAAGCATCGACGGCACCGTAGAGGACAAGGAGTTCAGGAAGCCCTTGCAATTGACGTCGACCGTGCGCTCCCATTCCTCAACCTGAACGTTCTTCATGAGGGTGTAATACATGACACCTGCACAAGCGACCAGGATGTCAACTTGGCCCAGCTTCTCCTCAGTAGCTTTGATGAGGGCTTCGACCTGGGCCCGGTCGGTAACGTCTGTTGCCTGTGCCAGAACCCTCACACCAGAGGTTGACGTGATCTTTTCCTTCAGAGAATCCAGAGCCTGAATTCTTCGTGCTGCAATGGCAACGTCGGCACCCTCGGCAGCCAATGCAGTAGCCACTGCAGCACCGATACCAGATGAAGCACCTGTGATGACGGCGACCTTACCGCTCAGAGGGCCGCGAGGTTTGACTTGTGTAGCCATGTTGACAGATTTGCGTGGTGGACGTGGAAGCCAGCCGCGAGCGTAAAAGTGTCTTGTATATGTTCGGAGGAGCTTGGCGTCAATTTTGGGTCGTTGTAGGCCAAAAATACCTTCCAGGATGGGACTAGTTTTGGAGTCGTTTAATACAATAACCTCTTGGATAAAGTCGACAGTGGGCATGCTAGAGCGCAGTATGTCGACAGTGAAAGAACCCTCGCCCCAACGACCGGAACCCCTCTTCTGCTTCCACAGAGCTGCCCACTTTTCAAAAGAAAGCTTTGCCGTAGTAAAACCTAATTGGTCGAGATAGCCGAAGACATGACTAGCGCGTATAGGCGCTGGATCTCCCAAGTGGAAGATCTGTTGTGTCTGATCACAGTGGTCTGCCAGAGTCGTGATGGCTTTACTCACAAAGTCGACTGGGGTCATTTCCACCAGCCAGTCCTCAATATCTGGGGCGTGCCCGATTTGCATTGATTCCACAATAATGGCTGTCAAGAGGTCCCACGCGTTTGTGGCACCCGACTTGCTGTGGCCACTAATGGTTCCTGGACGATAAATTCTTGTAGGCAAGCCACGGCGGTTGGCCTCAAGCACGAGCTGCTCAGCGACCCATTTCGTTTGACTGTAGCCATCTTGTAGCTTCACTGGAACATCATCCACATCGACCATGGTGTCCTCCGACCACCCTTCCTTGGAAGGTGGCAGAACGCCATTCGTTGAGACATGATGCACCGGCGCCCCCGCAAGACAAGCCAGTCGTAGTATCTCACGCGTACCACCCACATTTGGGGCTCGCAAGGCAGCGTAAGGGTACACCAAATTGACAGTTGCTGCAGCATGAATGACAACGTCAACGCGGGACGCGAGTTCCTCGAATTGATCGGGCGAAAGGCCCAATCTCTTCCTGGAAAGATTGGCGGGCATAATCTCGACACGGTCGACAATAGAGTCGTCCCACAGGCCAAGGTCGTTCAGATTCTTTCGCAGTCTTGCCATACCCGCAGAGGTCTGATCGTCAATGGGATCATTGAAGCGCACAATACAGACAATATCAGCCTCGGTATTCTCAATCAGCGAGCTCAACAAGAATGCACCCAAGAAACCTGTTACTCCGGTTAATAAGACCGTCTTAGCCTGGCTCAGGGGAAGCATCTTGGCGTTCCTGGGCTGAATATCAGCGGCCAAAACAGAATCCGCCCGCAGTACTGCCGGGAGATCGGCTTGGACAGCTGCTGTGTGTCCATCGCGAGCAGCAGTCACAGCTTCGACGTGGCCTTTAATGGTGGGATCGCCCGCCAAAGACCCAAGAGGAACCCGGAAGCCAAATGTCTTTGAGTACCGATTGGAAAGATCGGCCAGCGTCAGAGAATGACCGCCTAAGTCGAAGAAGCTGTGCTCTTTGGTGATAGCACTCGTAGGAACATTCAGGGAGGCAGCCCACAATTCTGCGATTTGTTCAGCTCTGATTTTGGTATTGGTGTCGGCCTTTGGCTTGCCGTTGGCTGAAGGAGTGCCAGGCTCTGGGGGTGCTGGAAGACTCTTGAGATCTACTTTGCCAGACACCTCGTGTGTTGGAAGTACGTCGAGCTCGACCCAGCGGGCTGGAATCATGTAATGAGCCAAATGTTCCGCAAGTGCCCGGCGGCCCTTGGGACAGTATCCGGCCTCGTCAATGGCGATTGATGCTCGGCCATCTTGCGCCTCCGTATCGTGCACGATGTAGGCAACCAGTTGACGTTCCACCCCATCGCCTCGCGGAACCACCGCACACTGCTTCACAGCCAAGTTTTTCACAATGGCGTTTTCGACAGTGCCAGGAACTACACTATAACCTCGAAGCTTTATCATGGCACCAACACGACCGGTGATCTCCATAAGGCCGGAAGGTAAGATTCTGGCCATGTCGCCAGTCCTGTACATGCGAGCTCCCGGTGTATTGTCAAATGGGTCAGGCAAGAATGCTTTGGCCGTCGTCTCCTCGAGATTCAAATAGCCCCGAGCCAACAGACCACCGCCAATGAAAAGTTCTCCGGAAACTCCAGGGGCCACCCTCTTGCTGTTCTCGTCTAGGACGTAGGTGTGTTCCGGGTCCAAAGGTGGCCCCACAGGACAGTACGGCTGCTTCGGGTTCAACATTTCCTTAATATCGCCGCAGGCGATCTCGTGCGTCTCACTAGCACTGTAGCAATTCAGGAGCCGTGTATTCGGTAGTGCCTTTGCAGCCCGGAGGACCAGATCGGTGGTTACGACTTCGCCGTCTGGAATTCTTCAAGTCAACCATCGGTTCTTTGCAGTATTTCTCTTCACGACTCTGCACTTGCATTGTGTTGGACGACCTTGGACATTCTAAATCAGAACAAAAGACTTACTCAGCCATAGTGTCTTCAGATCAGGTAACCTTTCTCCCAGGCGTGCATGTCGTGACAGCACCGTTGCTAATAACGTTGGCGTCATCAATGTTTCGGTGATATTCTTTGACGAGAGCAGGTCGACCAAAGCTACAGGGTCGTAGCTCGCTTCGTCCGGAATGCAGAATGTAGTTGCTCCTCGCAGGAGCGGCCGCAGAATTTCCCAAACAAAGAACACATTGCAAGCAACCCGTTCGCCCTGCTTTAGGTCGCTGAGCTTGAACCGCAAGTCGTAGGACCGCACAGCAGCCCGGTGGGGGTTTGCAATGCCCTTGGGCTTGCCCGTCGTGCCGGACGAGTATGAAACAAAGGCCAATTTTTCCAGATCGTGTTCCTCAGTTCTAGGCGTTTTTATGGGGGCTGAGCCATTGGCGCTGATGTCTTGTTCGTCCATAACAATCAGTGGCACCTCAGCACCAAGCCTTCCAGCATGTTCGCGCTTTGTGACAATGACTCTCGGCCGCGCATCGTCAATGACATTTGACAGCATGGCTGGAGGATAAGCCAGCTCCAAGACGAGGAATGCCCCGCCAGCTCGCAGAGCTGCAAGACACGCAATCACGTAGTCTGCACTCCTGCCCATGAGGACACCGACTGGGTCGTCTCGGCCAACGCCATGCTTGCGCAATGACTGCGCAAGATCGGCAGTAATCAGGTCGAGCTCGGCATATGTGTACGTATTGGACTTGTCTTCAAGAGCAATTGCGTCAGGTGTCGCGACAGCTTGCCTGCTGAAGCCTGCCGCCAAGTCCCTGTCCACGTCGATGATGGCCATGTTGGTGTATTTTCTTAAATCTTCGAGATGGGCGCAGGATTATGATATTAGAGGATGTTGTTCTGTACAATAAGAGGAAGTAATTGTATATAAACGCCAACACCAGGGTATTCAAATTGTTTTATATGAGGACAGATAGATGGGCGTCCAGCGGTCGGATTGGCCACGATGCTTTTCCCAAGGTGGTTGAAATTATGCCAGAGCAGGGCGCGACGGTTGCAGGTGTGGGCTGGCGATCAAGTGAGCATACACACAGAAGGCAGGAACGGGCTGAGGAGGCTATGCCTTTGCTGAGGAGGCTATGCCTTTCAGTGCTTGAGGCAGGCGTGGATGTCGTAGAGCGCAATTTATCAATTGGGCCAAGTACCTCTTTGATGTCTCCGTCTGGACTGAGTCAGAAATACAAGTTGTTGAGAA